AAGACTTTATGCATAACAGAGCTCACGTCATAATGCACTTAGTTTTGTTTGGCAGAAGTACGTCCAAATGTCCATAGGGGCACATCGTAAATTGGCCTCAGTGGGAATCGCACCTCTCATGATTCCCCATCAGATTTGTCCTCTCTACAGGGAACCGTGGTTTTTCACAGGCCTGAATATCATGTGCCCCCATGGGACGTCATTCCCATGTGCTCCCATGGGGAGACCTCGTTCCCTTGGGCCCCCATGGGGAGGCCCCGTTCCCATGGGCCCCCATGGGGAGACTCCATTCCCATGTGCACCCCGGAGTAATTCGCGTCCCAAAATACCATGTGCCCCCGTGGGAATTTTTCTGGATATTGCACATGGGACATTTTTAACAGGGAAAATTGGCAACAATGGACCGTTAGGCCTTCTAAAATTCATAGGAAGCCATTTTTATGGCCAGATATGAAAAGTACGTAGAAAAATACATATAGTACACACCCATAGAGGGTGACTAAGGTCGAGAAACATTCAAAAGAGCTGCCTTCAAGTATAAAAAGGCCACTAAAATCGACATCTCGGTGAATTTTCACATCGTGGGAATCCAAGTACAACTGTGATATTTTAATATGTTGTATGGATGGATAAGAGCTGTTACCTGGTACAATATGAAAGTCGTACTCCCCTTTCTTGAACCTTAGGCGCCCGCGATTTATCGATTTTTTGCTGTTTTTGACACTTTGGGACCAATTTTCTCGGAAATTTGGCAACGTAGGAAAAAATTTTACTGAACATTTTTAATTCATTTTTTTACGTACTTTTCAAAAATGTACACAGTTTTTGGATTAAATTGAGTTTTGAATGTGTTAAATGGAAAAAACCCCTAAAAATGGGCCAAAAATGGCAACAATAGGCCATAAGGCCCCTTAAAATTTATCGGAGGCCTTTAAAAAGGCCAGAAACGAAAAGTACGCGAAAAAATACAGAAGAATCATGAGCTGGAAGAGTGATAACAGTCGAAAAAGTCGACGAAAATAATTGTTTTTCGATTCCGGGATTTTGGGTTTGAGGCGCTGCTGCGGCCTTGCATGGGCTCCGTTCGGTCTAATATTTGGCACAGAGTCTACCTAAGACTATTACTTTGAAAATATGAAACATTTAGCAAAATCCAGGTGGGGCCGGAAAAGGCCCAAAACGTTACTCCTCCTTTTCACAAGCGCTACATGTTTTGAAAGCTCTTGCAACAACAAAAACAAAAACATATGTAGGAGACTTTTTTAGCAATAATTCCCTATTTTGGAGTGATAAATGTGTAAACGGTTTGCGATTTGGATCTTTGACCCAGCCTCATGTCCCCCAAATATTTTGAAAGTGTTCCAAGCTAAGAGAATAGATAGAACTTTGAATTCGAAGGAATGCAAGTCTCAAAAGCAATTACCACCAGCAGACTGGACTCCATTTTGCAACGACCTGTCATTAAAATCTAAAAAAATGATTCACACAATGAATAGTAAATTAGTGATACCCACCATCAGAGGAAATTTCACCCCAAGGATGGGGTGGATACATGAAAGCCGCATTCTGTATTTGTTCGTTGATATCTTCATCCTCATTGAAGGGGAATGTACCACTTAAACTGACGTAAATGATGACACCAACACTCCACATGTCAAGTGATCTATTATAGCCCTTATTTCGTAAAACTTCTGGAGCTGCAGAAAAACATTTTTACAAGATAAATGAACTGCAGTGTGAACATTCAGAGGACAGGCTCCTCAACGAGATCAAAGGACACAGCTATAGACAATGAAGACAAAGGTAGAATAAAGCAATCCTATTAGTTGAACCCAGTGGTTTTTATAGACTAAAGCTGAGGGGGAAAATGATGGACCAACTACAGGGTCTCTCATGGGTTGCTGTTAGTTGGTCTACTATTTACCACTTTCGTCCATTGCAACCAGCCGCTTCCACCAAGCATATCCCTCCATTTTCTTTTTGTCTATTAGTTTGTCTATCAATCTTAATAATCAGCCAGCTGATAAATCTATAAATTCTTACAGTGCTTTTTCCGAAAAAAAAAAAATCTTATTCTACGTCGAAAGGTATCTCAGGGTGAGGGCGCCAAAATGCCCCTCCTCACGGGTTTTGAATTTAATGGTCTAAACCCTTTCTGGAGGTCCTAGAATTATGGTTTTGGGCAATTTTTACCTCCCGACTCCATCCTCCCTCTCCAGCTCAGAAGAACCCACTTTTCGGGGACTTTGAGGGTATTTTAACGTTTTATTACATAACTCCCACGTTCTGCGATGAGAAAATGTCGATGCCACTTTGAAATGACATTTAATTAGCAATTCTTAATTAAATTGTTGATGAATCATCACGAAATTTTGCAATTATGTGAAGAAACTTATACTGCAATCCGGAAGGCCAAGGATATGAATTCCGTTGAGTTTTCGCGGAAATATCTTAATGGGAACCCTCCAACACCACGCAGGAGGCCGAACCAGGTGCCTGCGTGTAAATACAGGGTGGCCCAGACCTGCTGTACCAGGCCTTTTTTTCGAAGAAAAAGTAGTTTCTGAGTTTTGAAAAGTGGTTAGTTGAATAGAGAATCGACCCCGAGGAATTCGAATTTCATGTTTTCGAGAGCCCCCCACCCTCCCTTTTTTTTTTTTTTGGGGGGGGGTTGACCCCCGTATCTTGAAAGCTCGGAGAAAATGTGGTATGATTCGTTCAAAAATGAAATCTACGCAAAATTTCATGAAGAATCAAAAAAAAAATTCTTTGACAGCTCAATTTTGAACCGAATTAGAGCCCCTCAAAAAGGGGGGATTACCGTGCTTAAGCTCCCCGCGCATAACGCTAGCTTTCTTCAAAATTAACGGAAAATCCCCGGAAAAGTTGCAATCCAGGGTAATTTTTCACGGAGAATACGAATTTGTAGGTTCTAGCGCTCTAAAAAGGCTCCCCGGGGCCACGCGGGGAGGGGGCCCGGGCCCCATTTACCCCCTTCGCGCCAAAAACTAGTTTTCTTAAAAATTATCGGAAAACATCCGGGAAAATTTCAAACCAAGGGTAAATTTCCATGAAAAACACAAATTTCTAGGTATCAGAGTCCTACAACAGCTCCCTGGGGCCACGCGGGGAGGGGGCGCAGGCCCCGTCTGTCCCCTTCGCACCAAATCCTAGTTCTCTTCAAAATTATGGGAAAACGTCCGGAAAAATTGTATCTCCAGGTAACTTCCCATGCGAAACACAAATTTTCTAGGTATTAGAGTCCCACAACAGCTCCCCAGGGCCACGCGGGGAGGGGGCGCAGGCCCCGTTCGTCGAGTTTGCGAAAAACGCCAGTTTTCTTCAAAATCATCGGCAAACACTCGAAAAAATTGAAAATTCGGGGTAAATTAGTGTGAGAGACACGCATTCGAACGTTTCGAAGTTTCCTATGTCTCGTTCGAGGCCAAACGAGGAGAGAGTCGTGCCCTGTTGGTCTCTTTAGCGCAGAATACTACTGTTCTTCAAAATTATCGACAAATTAATCGAAGATAATTTTTCATGTGAAACAGGAATTAGAATGTTTCAAAGTGTTCTATGAGCTCCTTGCAGGGAGAATGCATGGATCCTGTTGACCCCCCTCCACCTAGAATTCCAACGTTTTTCAAGAGCATCGGATAATATCCGAGAAACAAAATTTTACTCTCGCTTCTTTCGCACAAGGAACCTACATTTTCACCAGTTGACATCTCTCAGTTATTCAAATTTTTCGTTTAGCTTTTCAGCATAATGATACTAGCAATTTTTCCTCAGGTTTTCGGGAACTCCTGCTTCCACCATCCATTCCGGGAGTGTTACGTTCAGGAAATTCGCGTAAATTTAAGGTTTCCTTCAAAAAAGTGAGGGCCGATAAGATGGTGGTCTAAAATACGCTCCCACGTTTTCACACCCTAGACTATCTGATCCTCCATCTCGATTAACCAGCGGGGGTTTTCAATGGCTCAGTAGTGTTGGTTGCGGATGTCGATTGTGTTGTTGTTTTTGATCGTCGCTTCATCACTCCACAAAACTTTAGAGTGGAAGTTCGGAATCATTTATCCTGCATCTTTACGCAGTGCGCCACTCTGAGCTTGTAGTTCCCGGGATAGAGCTTTTGATGGGTAGATACATGGAACGGTCGCAAATTTTGATCCTTCATGATGCGTTGGATGGTACTACGGGTCAATCCAGTCTCAATCACCGATCATTAATAGGAAATTAAAAAGAAAGTCTTTACTGTTACTCAATCAGCGATCATTAATCGAGCTATCTTGCAGATCAGTGATAAGATCTTATCCACCGGTCTAGATACAAAGCTTTTTCCCACGATGCTCATGATATCAACTGGATTAGCCTCTTCGCATCTGATCATACGTATCCGGTTTCAGGTCAATTTAAAAATAGAATTTCAGTATTGATTGATCTGTAAGATAGCCCAGAAAACCTGAGGAACAGTTGCTGGTTCCAACATGATGGCTGTCCAGCTCACTATTCTCTGCTCTCCCGAACTATCCTGGATGATCAATTCCCAGGACGGTGGATTGGTGGAGGTAGTCAATATCCTTGGCCACCGAGATCTCCTGATTTGACCTGCCTTGATAATTGGTTTTGGGGCAGAATACGAGATATCGTGTACATGAAAAGGCCGACCACCCCTGAGGATATGCAACAACGTATCAGAGCTGCTTGCGCATCGATCAGTCTTCAGGAGTTCGGCAATGTCATGGAAGGCATTCCGAAGCGCCTTCAAAAGTGCATCGACAACGACGGCCGTCATTTTGTGCACTTGAGGTAAACTGCTCCCTTCCTCTCTTACAGTTTCACTTTCCTGATTTCTAATCCTTCTTCTTATTCCTTCTCCTATTGCCTCTTCTGACTCCTTTCTTTTTTCCAGTGAAGTTTTAATTCCTTTCTTAGAAATTACTGCCAGTCCTAAGCCTGGAAAAGTATGAAGGAGGGTAACAGCCAAAAGGAAATGCAAAAGAAAAATTTGAATAACTGAGAGATGTCAACTGGTGAAAATGTAGGTTCCTTGTGCGGAAGAAGCGAGAGTAAAATGGGCCTGTTGCAAACTTTTGCTAGAGCAAAAATAAGAGTTGTTTCTTATAGATAATGCCTCAAAACTCACGATGAGCGCATCGGCAAAGTCTGAAATGCACTCATAACTTCACAATTTGCGTAAGAAATTTGCGGTGTTTTGAGCTTCCCGCTTCAAAAACGATACTACGGCACAGGTGAACATTTTGTTAGAGGAGTCGTTCCATCGTCGGCAATACTCATCATGGCCGACGACAATCCGCCAAAACACCTGTGAAGGGACGAGATAACACCTGAACAGGATTAGACCAGATAACAATCGGCGTGTTTACGTTCATATTTTCCTTACCCGCCTTGATTGACCTTGAACTCTCCTCGAATTACGCGCGGAACTGCGCAAGCGTCGGCCATGATGAATATTGCCGACGATGGAGCGACTCCTCTAACAAAATGTTCACCTGTGCAGTAGTATCGTTTTTGAAGCGGGAAGCTCAAAATAACGCAAATTTCTTACGCAGATTGTGAAGTTATGGGTGCATTTCAGACTTTGCCGATGCGCTCATCGTGATTTTTGAGGCATTATCTATAGGAAACAACTCTTATTTTTGCTCTAGCAAAAGTTTGCAACAGGCCCATTTTGTTTCTCGGATATTATCCGATGCTCTTGAAAAACGTTGGAATTCTAGGTGGAGGGGGGTCAACAGGATCCATGCATTCTCCCTGCAAGGAGCTCATAGAACACTTTGAAACATTCTAATTCCTGTTTCACATGAAAAATTATCTTCGATTAATTTGTCGATAATTTTGAAGAACAGTAGTATTCTGCGCTAAAGAGACCAACAGGGCACGACTCTCTCCTCGTTTGGCCTCGAACGAGACATAGGAAACTTCGAAACGTTCGAATGCGTGTCTCTCACACTAATTTACCCCGAATTTTCAATTTTTTCGAGTGTTTGCCGATGATTTTGAAGAAAACTGGCGTTTTTCGCAAACTCGACGAACGGGGCCTGCGCCCCCTCCCCGCGTGGCCCTGGGGAGCTGTTGTGGGACTCTAATACCTAGAAAATTTGTGTTTCGCATGGGAAGTTACCTGGAGATACAATTTTTCCGGACGTTTTCCCATAATTTTGAAGAGAACTAGGATTTGGTGCGAAGGGGACAGACGGGGCCTGCGCCCCCTCCCCGCGTGGCCCCAGGGAGCTGTTGTAGGACTCTGATACCTAGAAATTTGTGTTTTTCATGGAAATTTACCCTTGGTTTGAAATTTTCCCGGATGTTTTCCGATAATTTTTAAGAAAACTAGTTTTTGGCGCGAAGGGGGTAAATGGGGCCCGGGCCCCCTCCCCGCGTGGCCCCGGGGAGCCTTTTTAGAGCGCTAGAACCTACAAATTCGTATTCTCCGTGAAAAATTACCCTGGATTGCAACTTTTCCGGGGATTTTCCGTTAATTTTGAAGAAAGCTAGCGTTATGCGCGGGGAGCTTAAGCACGGTAATCCCCCCTTTTTGAGGGGCTCTAATTCGGTTCAAAATTGAGCTGTCAAAGAATTTTTTTTTTGATTCTTCATGAAATTTTGCGTAGATTTCATTTTTGAACGAATCATACCACATTTTCTCCGAGCTTTCAAGATACGGGGGTCAACC